TCAATGACAACCTGCGAGTATCTGCTTTTCAAATCCAAAGTAGAAAACCAATTTGAGTCTACCAATGTCGTAAAGGTATCGTCAATTCTGGGTAATGGCTGTCTTTCTGGTAGATCCATCTTTGTTTGTGACTAATACAATTGGCGATGACCACGGATTTGAAAACTCTTTTTCTCCCTCTGCAAGCATACTGTCTACCAATGACTTCATTTCTTGTTGTTTGGTCATGGGAAGTCTTCTGGTGGTTGACGGATAGGATGAACACTGCCAAAGATATCCTTGTTTTCACAAAGGTACTGTTGAGCCTTAGAAATATGTTTCCAAGATGGGGTTTTCATTTCTAAAAGCCATTTTAGAGCTGCGTGATCCGTTCGAATAAGAAACTTACGCCCGTAGAGATATTTATGAAAATGGTCGACAGCTTTTACTATGGCGAGCAACTCTCTTCTGGTGACATAACAATTTCGCTCCGGTTTTGATAAGGTTCTGCTGTAGTACTCTACGACATGTTCTTGTGAGTTTTGGATTTGTGGAAGGACAGCTCCAATACTGGTGTTACTTGCATCTGATGTGTCCAAAATCAACATGCCTTTCTGATCGGGATCCCTAATAACACAGTAACATCGCAGAAACATTCCAGAAACATCCATCAGGGATAATGAAGACGTCCCTGGGAGGTCCCTATTTTCCTGGGGACATCCCTGGGATGTTGCAGGCAACAGCCGTGTCATCATTTGCGATGTCCTATAAACATCTCTCAGGGATGTTTCTAAGATGACGCGGGATGTACCTAATACATCCGGGGCAGGTGTAAGAAACATCCTCTATATGTTTCTAGTATGACTTTAATAGGTGAATGAATTTTAGGATTATGGATTAAAAATTACCTAATTCAATAATTTTCAATTTTCGTTCTATTTTCTGGAAGTCAGAACTTTTTCCAAAAAAAAAACAAAAATTGAAAATTATAAAATTAAGTAGGCACATCAGTTTCCAATAACATTTTTTATTGAAAAAATAAGGTACATGTATACTTATATTGATTATCTATCAACTAATAATAATCGACGGACAATTTTGCCTAAATAATGTAGTATTTATGCCCCGTCATGTCATCGAAAACCATAGTTTGGCAGTGGCAGCATGTTGTAGTAGGGGAGTTCGGCGTTTTCTTTTTTTGTTGGTGCTCCAATTTCATAAAGGTACCATTATCTAACCAAAACAACCACAGAACCAAAATCCAAAGTTCTTGAAGTACAATTCAACTTGCACACCTAGAATGTAATCAACTATGAAAACAAAAAATAATTATTGGTTATTTTCTCTTACCTAATGAAGAATGAAGTTCGGGTTTCTAGGGGCTATTTATCAGAAAAGTTAGAAATTTCCTAACCGACGCCATATTGAAATTAAATAAACTAAGCAATTGATAGTTATGCGACGTTATCTTTCAACAAATAATCTTTCTCACCAACTAATAAGCACTGGTAGGTCGCAGAGATCCTTTCGAACACAAAATGGCACAACTAGGTGTAGCGAAAAACCACAAATTGACAAATCCTCCACACAGCACGACGCCATTACGAAATAAAATTCCGCCCAACAACACAAGCGTAGCGCACAGGACGACCCGTTCGACTGATTCTGCCCGTCTGCGCTGGCTGCGGCGCCGACCCGACGTGGTGGCGTGCCCTCCTGTCCTGACCGGTACAAGTACAAATGCCTGAGCACGCGCCTGCGCCATACACTTCGGCTTCACGAATATTCACGATGTTTGAAAGTTGAAAAGAGAGAAGACTTTTATCAATACATATTTTATTTTATTCCAAGTTGTAAGTCGAATGAAAAATTAAATATTGCTGTTGTTACAATACAAAATTAATATTAAGTTCCTTATTATCTATATACATTACAGGTATATTATGGAATTTGAAATTAGTTTGTGTGTGTGATAGAGACATTTTCAGAAATCACACAAAATTGGCAAATTTAATACTGGGTCCTACCGGTCTGAGGTCCTACCTAGTTTTGTAAAATAATGTTAGCCATTTTTTAGCTGTAATAAGTATCTAATTTTGAGAACAAAAAATCTTTTTGTCGATAGATATTTACGAAAGGATGTTTCTAAAACATTTCAGGACAATCATCCTAGAGATGTTACATTACAAACATCGCAGCGATGTACCATTTATGTCGGAAACATAAGGACCTTAATGGTACATAAATAGGATGTTTCTGGGAGATCGGTGTTATTAGGGATATGACAACACTGGGCTCGTACATAATGCTCCTTTCAATTTTCTGAAAGCGGAATCGCATTCTTGGGTCCAATTAAATGAACCTTCCACAAATCTTCGATAATAAGAACATAATCCTAGAAAACTCCCTAGTTCATGTTTGTCGGGTTGTTTTTGGCCAATCCCAACTTGTATGCCATCTTCAGATACCACGTGACCTAAGAATTCCACTTTTTTTTTGAAATAGAAAACACTTGTTTGGGTTGAGTTTCAGCGGAAGCGGTCAAAAACTTCTTTCAGGTTATTGATCGAGATGTTCTTGGAATGAGTTTCCCATGATCATGACATCATCTAAATATACCAGGCAAGTTCTCCATGTAAGGCTTCGCAAAACAAGATGCATCAGTCGCTCAAACGTAGCTGGAGCGTTAGACAATCCGAAAGGCATTACGTTTAACTGGTATAGCTGGCTTCCGGTATTGAAGGCAGTTTTCTTTGTCGCCTGGCTTCTTCTTCTTGTTTTGCTTGTTGTCGTTTGGTCTCTTGAAGTTCCAACATTTTGCGCAGAAGTTCTTCTACTTTTTGTTCATCCATTTTTGCTTGTTGTCTTGTAATAGGCATATACAGAATGTTCTGGAATTTCCCTCAAACTCTCTTCAAATATCTTCCCTGGTCTTTTGTTGAAGTTCCAAACATGTCGATGAAGTCACAAATTAGATAACTTGCTTTATTCTCGAATAGAATGTTCTAGAATTTTCTTGACATGTCTTTTCTGGATATGTTGATTGATACAACAAACACGTCGGTGAAGTCACAGATTCGATATCTCCCTTATAGTTTCCAAATAGAATATTCTAGAATTTTCCCGAAACTCCTCGAAAAACTTTTTCTGAATGACGATTGATGTTCTGAATATACGTCGGCGAAGTCAGAAATTCGATATCTCTTTTGGTTTCTGAATATAATTTTCTAGAACTCACTCGAAGATTTACTATCACAATCAAAATCGGTATACCAGTCACTTCCGGGGGTAATTTACACGATCGCTTAAGTCTCTTTTTGTGATTGTCACTGTTTGCACTGACTAACTGTTCACTTATTTTCAGTGTTCACATTTCGTTAGTGTCCCCGCACTATTCTGCAATTGGATTTCACTTTGCAGTCCTTTATGTCTCACTTCTGACACCAATGTCACGGCTTTGGTGTGCGTGACAAAAATCTTGGGTTCGTTGTTCGTTCATTCCAAAATCAAAGTCCAATTGACACAGAAATAATTTATTCCACTTAACTATACACTCTGACACTAATCACTATTTAAATCGTGTATGACAGTCAAACTTACGAACCAATGCCGGCCTTTATATATCCATAAATCTATTCATGTATAATCTAGAATACACGCGATAACTATCCTTCTCGAAAACGCCGCAAGAATCGTAATAATATTCAATCAAAACTTGAAAAATATAATATAGAATTGAATAATAAGCCAAGCTGCCCAAGTTTGTTATAGATTTTTGCTTCCAAAGTTTTTTCATCAACTTTCTGCTGGTCATTTCTCAGAGTTGCAAATAAAAAGTGCTTTTTCTGGATTCTGGCTATTTCAGCAAACTTTAGGTCTACCCACGTTGGAGAGTATATATACCTACCCAAAATCACTGGATTTAGAAATTCAATTTATATGAGGCAAAGTCCTATGGAGTTCTGTTACAAACTGCGTTCAAAATGAATTTACATGTTATGTTGGAAATACAAAGTTGTATGCTAGTTCTATATGGAAAAAAAAGGAATTTCTTGAAACTCTCCCTGGGGAATTCCCAAAACCGTCCACGAGTGGGTGGTCTTGAATAAGACGAAGAAGAGCAGTGGAAAACATTCGTATGGAATCTCGAATTTCCAAGAAATTCGAAGTTTAACTGATAAGACTGTCAAGCAGAATCGAGAGGATATTGCATCAAGATGTTTTGGTGGAAAAAAACTGCTGTTGGAAAAAAGGTAACTATTAGAAAACCAGTAGGTGAATAGTTCGAGCAAGAATTTATACGGAAATGATGGAGATAACTGGTCTGTAAAAAGAAAATAAAACTGGTTAGTTCATCGCTCTTTGTGCATAAAAAATTTACCTGGTATTAGTTGAAATGGGTGATGAGATTAATGCTGATTTATCAGAACAGAATATTTAAATATCTCAGCTGCAGCTTACAACATAATGAAAATACTCAAATTGTATATATGATTTATAAAAGCCCTTGTATTGTAGTTGTATTATTTACTTTTTGTTATAAATAGATATGACTTTACAACATTCTTGAAGCTACTATAGGGCAAATATGAAATAAACCTCCTATATAGTGACAGTCTTGTATTATGTTCAACATTTCACTTTTACTGATATGCGTTTTTATTATTTTCCTTTCATCTATCTAGTCCTTTGGTAACCTGTTATATTGAATAGAACAATTTTAGCATTAAAGGTCATTTCTACTCTTTTATAAACACTGATAAAAATAGTATCAAAAAAAGCTATTCCTTGCAAGCATATATTTGCATTTGGCAAGGTCCCTATTATATATTCAATGTCTTGTAAACAGGTGCACCCATATAAAAATTAATACATATTTAAATAACTAATTTTTGTTTCATAACAGTTATATAATCTAATATATAATAAAAAATTATCACTTTTGATAATAATTATATCCTATTAGAAATTATAAATCTTATTACCATCAAACAAAAACTAATAATGTAATATTCTCTTACTTTCCAAATATTATTCTTAAATCCATTCGGCACGCCCAGATGAATAAACTCTCTTCTATTAGGTGCGCCCAATTTGAAATTCACTTTACCAAAAAAAATAAAAAAATAATCTAATTACATTTACAACGCGTTTTCACTTAGTCAAACAAAATTTTTCACTTATGTAACCAGAAAGTTGTTTTGTATACTTGAAAAACAAAAAATCCATTTACAGCAAAGGTCGAGCACAAAAAACTTCAAAAAAAATACCGCGCGCCTACGAAAGAATTTCCAAGAGAACCCGCCAAACGAACCAAGGTCCCGCTCGATACTGACATCAATCGGATTCTGGGAGAATGAAAAAAAAGTCTTCAAAAAGAGATAGATCACTTTGATACCTGCTGAAGACCTACGTTCTTCGTCAGCAGCACTACGGCGACCAGCTGAAATGTTGCGCTAAGAATGTCTTTGATTAACAGTAAAAGTATCGTTAATTGTTACAAGTTACCTTTCTCTTCGCCGTAAAGTTGAAGACCTGTTATACGTATACAAGTCTGCATTCTTTACTGGTATAATGAGAAAATTCATCTTTTTTTTTTTCATTTTTCGATTCCATCTTTACTCTAGCTACTTTGTACTTGATGATGGTTGAAATATTCGAGGACGCATGCAGTCATATGAAGAGCAATGAAATATGGTTCATTGATTGCTAAATAAACTTACAACAGCTTTATTTAACTATAGTTAGAAATCGCTGATCTTGGTTTTTTATTTGTTGGTAAAAATTTCTTAGTCAACTTATAGCCTAACAAACAGCTAGGAAAAATAAAAACACTGAACCGATTTTAATCATTATTAATTTTTTCTCAGCCTCACAACAAATCCTAATTAAAAAATAATCCTTATCAAAATGTGCCATAATTTAAAAACAAAATAATTGCACACAGGAAAGGCAACTTAGATTAAACACAAATAAATAATGTTTAAAGTAATAATAAAGGTTATACATATTATAATAATATAGGTTTTTTGATTGGTCTATGAGAAAAAATCACTTGCAATTTTATTTTCTCTATACTTTCTTATAGATTGAAATTCTTTTCTTTCTCCCATTACCCTGTTTATTTGTTTAGTGGTTATTTCAGCGGTTTCGTTCCTAAAACAAACATCTTTCAGTAAAATATTATAAATTACACACTTACACTTACGAATATTTCTTCTCACAAATCAAATAAGTCCTAGCGGTCCGAATAAGGTTTTCAGCAAAACATTTCACAGCCTCGAATAAAATCCTTTCTGAAGCATTCATTGACACACCCTCAACTAGTACTTCGGGTTTAAGCACTATACCCACATCTAAAGCGGCTTCTTTTATAAAAGCACATTCTTCGGACAAATTTTTGTCTGATATATCTATACATGTTTCTATTGAATTAGAATTGATTGGATCTTAAATAAAACAGAATTATAATAATTGTTTTGCAGAATTACTACTATTAAAACTTACCTATCACAGGTTTTACGGGAGATACAATATTGATGGCTTCATCATGAATAGGGTAAGCGAGGCCACTGTTCTGATTGTGAGTGCCCTTATAACAATCTAGTATAAGACTTCTTTCGACTGAGTCTTTACGAAATAGTCTATAACTAGACACTAAAGGTGTGTACAAATGGGACCTTGCATACATAAAAATTGCCTTTGTAGTCCAGTTTTTACTATAAGGCTCGCCTGCAAGGATTCTTTTGATTGCTTTGGCTCTGGACCACTATAAATGTTGAAAACAAAATATAAATACATAAACAAATTATTCTTCTTACTTCAGCAGCTAATTTTTTTCCCACATTCCACGACAAATACTCATTTTTTGATGAAGCAGTAAACGGATAGGTGCATTTGTAATCTTCATCAGCCTCTGGATTCCATATGGGTAACCTTTTAAATAAATATGGCAATACTTCTCCCATGTTTTTAAATTTATTATTATTTGGTAACTTTAAGATGTTCGAAGTTTTTGAACAATTTGTTGTTGCATTATCTTTTGTAGGTGATTTTAAGAGTTTCACTGATACAATGCTACCATTATTTAAAAGTAGTTGATTGAAACTTTCTGGAAGGACTCTTATTGACTGGCCTGTGACTGTTTTCAAGACTTTATATAAAGATTTGGAATTGTTTGCTAGTTTTTCTGGAGATTTCATAACACTAGCTTTTCTGACAATTTTTTTAGGTCTGGACCGTCCTGGGTCCAAATAACCAGTTCCCAAACCATACATTAATTCATTATAACCTTGTTTGATAGGGGTTTTTTGTTTTTTGTGGCTTTTTTGACCTTCTTTGATTGCTGGCACAGTATAGGCATGATCCCTTAGGACAAATTCAGGATTTTGTTGTTCAACAATTGTATAATCATCGATAATATTTAAATCTTCATGTTTTATTGTAATATCGTCGAAACAATAGTCATGTTCAAAACTAGTCGACGGCTCAATTTTTATTGGTTCTATGCTTATTATTTTGTCGTTTAAAAACGGATTCAAGTCCATATTATCTAGTTGAAGCAAATCGAAATTATTATCACTTAATGATTCCGGTAATAGGATATTATCGTCGTTTAAAATTACAGGATCGGGGTCTTGTTTAACTTGGAATAAATCCTCGTGAAGGAATAAAGGGACTACAGTTTGGTTTCCTGAAAAAAATGTTTTTTTTTTTTAGTTTTTGCTTTTCAGTGAAATTAGTCCTGAATAGCTTTACAAAAGCTGGATAGTAGAAATGTGATATATCAATTAAGTAAAGTAACTAAGAAGCAACTTTGTTATGGACATCTAATATCCATAAACTTTTGTAAAGTTATCCAATTCAAAAAAATGAAAACTTACCTAAAGTTTGTCTTTCAGTAAATGTATTGTCCAGCTTCAGTTGATGAATCACATCTACGGGTTTATTCATGGGCGATTTAAAATGGATTTTTACCCTCAATCGAAACTCACCCCAACCTCTTCTTGACAAATGAAAAGGGGGGTGGCTAAAAAAAAAATATTTATTTACCATATGTACACTTTTTATTATAGGTGCCTACACATAGAATGGAATTAGTTGGAACTTTCAGAAACTTTAAACAAAATTCAATTGATTGATGCTAGTTTCAGGGTAAATTAGTAAATATGTATATTGAGAGATCAGAAATCAAAAGTTCTTATTAGTCTACTCCGGAATATAGGAACCTTGCATATTTTTTCCATTTTTGTCTTTCCATAGCTATACGGATCTAGGTCATTTCATAAATGTTCTGGATGTCATTACAACCTAGCACTTGATAGTAGTTTTATTTGAAAAAAAGGTTGAAGCACTTTCAACCTCTTTCAATTAATTTTCCAAAATATTAGACCATTTTGCAGATTCCTAACTGTTGAAAACAGTTTTTATTAAAAAGTCCTATTGATGGCACTCTAAAGGCAATATTTATTATGATCAGAATCTGAAAAAGTTCAAGAAAGAGCTGAGGGGATCCCAGATGTAGTCTTGGAGGAAGTACTGTGAGGATATAGAAAGTACTCAAGATTGTGCTAGACTACAAAGAACTCTGACACAGGGCCTGAAGACAACAATCAAATCACTAAAGAGCAACCTTGGTGAATTACACAAAGACGGGGGAACAGACAGCTAGGGAACTCCTGAGAACCCACTTTCCCAGCTCAAAGATAGTTGACCAGACTTAGTGGACATGGAATGAGCCTAGACTTCGAAGAGCATCCAGAAACGACTTGCTGACCTCGAAGAAAGTAGTCAACTATGAAAAAGTCAAATAAGCTATAAACTTGACACTTTGAATAAATCCTAAGCTGAAACATCTCATGTGTGATCTCTCAATACTTACTACTCAATAATTAAAATTCTTACCCAATATCAACAACATCGTGTGGTTTATACGAAGGATGTAGAAAAAATACAACTTTATCCACTGTAAGATTCGTAACTTCAATGCCATCTTTCAACCCTTTAAATATTTTAACATAAACCATCCACTTGTGCGTCAAATTGTTTTGCTCTAAAGATTTTTTATAATAAGAAATATTCCCTACAACCAATCTATGTTGTATTCTATTCCTATTTGTAGCCAGTTCCTCTGAATTTTGTTGCTGAGGTTTTACTATTGTTGCCGGTATTGTTCGGTTCTCGTTTGGTTCTAGTTTCATTTTTTTAGCTTCCGATTGTCCCTTGTCGGGGGGTTTAGATTGACCCTCAGTCACTTTTCTTTTGGTGCGAGACGTCAGGAACTCTAGCTTATTTGCATTTTTGCCTATTAGTTTTTTAACAGCGGGATGTATCCGGTTTTGGCTTGACAGTATGTCAGAACTGTTCAGAGAGCCTTCTGCTTCATATTCGAGGGCTTTTTTGTTGTAGTATGAAGAGATTAGGACGTAACGGACTACGTGCAAGAGTTTTTGGGCTTTGAATACTTTTTCTTCGATTTCTTCTAATTGTTTTTGTCTGATTTGTAGTTCCTTGTCGAATTCTCCCCGGATGATGGATTTAAGTTTTTCTTCTGTTGGCAAATGACCTATACCTAAACAAGGGAGGAAATAATTAAAAATCAGAAAGCACTTTCATACAGGGTGAGTGGATGTATTTCTTTGGAAAAGTGTTAGTAGAGCGGATTTTGTAATCCATTTAAGTAAATATCCATTTTGGAATTTGAGGAGAGGCAAACAATTTTATATAGAATTTTGAAATCTCCTAACTTAAATTTAATGTGAACAAAAACATGCTATTGCTGCAAAAATTACTTTTTCAAGGAAATATCTCCAATACAAAAATTCAGAGACAAATATCAGATAATTAGTTTGCTTTTGTTTGATCTATATAAAAATAACATAAATGTTTTACCCTTACAAGCGTAGATCCCGTCAAAAATAAAAATACATGCAATTATAACTAAAATCTTATAAATTCTAATACATACTATAAATTGTGGGTAAGGCTTTGGTCAGGTAGGTACTTTGGTATTTGTAGTATTCTATTTCAATCTATCTTTATCTGAGTCATTGAAAAACTCTTCAACATTGTAGTATGACCTTGGCGGTTCAAATTTAGAATTGTTCTTAAGCAACGTTTTTGAAGAACAAGTATTCTATTAGCGTAAGTTGAGTTTCCCCAGAATATGACATCATACCTAACAGGAGACTGTAGATAGGAGTGTTAAGAAGCCAAAGATGCAGAGAGACCCACTGATTCTCTAATAATTCTGAGAGCGTAACAGAATTAGCTCAGTTTTGCTGCAATATTATTATTGTTTGTTGAGAGTGACTCCCAGAAAAACCACAGCGTCCTGAGCCTCAAGGTCAATTCCTCCATAATCCATACACAGGTTTTCCGATGATTTTGGTTTAAAATGAATAAGTTGTGTTTATTTATTTATGTTCAGTGTTAGACTATTTGAATCAAACCATTTTTCTAATTTTTTGAGATCATCACGGATATTCACTTTTGCCACTTGTATATCTTGTTCATCATTTATTACAGTTTTATAGTCAGCGAATAACACTATTTTGTCATTTTGAATAATGTTTATTATATCGTTAGTGTAAGAATATAGAGAAATGGATCTCAGATTTGTCCATGCATGCACAAATCTGATATGAGAAGTAAAATCTATATTAAATTAAATCTAAAAGAAAACAGTCTACTATTTTGCATGCAGGGAGTTTTTGAGAAATATTTTAAGAATAAAAAAAAGGAGAAATTGAGTTTCCAGATCACTTATTTTATAATGGTAAGTTTGTCCCAACCTGAAAGGTATAATATTTACAAAGTCAGTTGAAACAAGGTAAAGGTAATTTGCATTGAGGTAATTTGCAACTGGTGGCTGACTAGTGACAGTGCATTTCTTATGAAAATATTCAGTCACCAGTTTTAATTTACCTTTACCTTGTTTCAACTGACTTTGTAAATACTATACATCCCCTATAATAAGTATACCGGGTAACAACGGAATCGTTATACAAGGCGTCATTCAGTTGTCTTTAAATTTAAAAATTTGAAAATTGGGTGGAACGGGTAAGTCATTGAGACGCACACTTTTCATAAAAAAACAATTGAATATCACTTCCGGTTACTTTGGAAATAGACCCAAGTCAAGAAATTTTTATGGAGCCCTGTATATTTTTTTGCACAGTTGGATAGAGCTTAAAATTCCCTTTTCAATGATATATGATAAGTGGAATTTGTTTTTGAGATGGCGGCGTGGCACTTTCTTGAATTCAATATGGCGGCATTCTGGCCTAACCTTTGAATACCTAACCGAAAAATGAATATGCATTTTGGTAGACATTTTTTGGTAGACCATTGGACACACTTTAATTCTAGAATTTAATAAGTACCTCTTCCTATTCAAAATTTTTAGAAAATTTGAAACTAAAATTTGCATTTCAAAGAAATTTTGAAATGCCCTTGTTTTTGAGCAAAATCATTTTTTGTTCAAATTCGATCTAAAACCATTTCAAATCTAAAAATTATGGATTGTTAAAAGTGTTTGTTTGACAGAAACATTATCGGTTACGTCAGAATGCCGCCATATTGAATTTAAGAAGAAAAAAAAACCTTCTTACGCCGCCATCTTGGAAACAAATGCAAGTTGTGATATGTCATTGGAAAGGGAATTTTAAGCTCTATCCAACTGTGCAAAAAAATATACAGGGTTCCATAAAAATTTCTTGACTTGGGTCCATTTCCGGAGTAACCGGAAGTGATATTTAATTGTTTTTTTACGAAAAATGTGCGTCTCATGGCAGTTTGCACTGACCATTTTAAGGAAACCTTAGCGATAAGTATTCCTTAAAGTGACATTTGTCCATGTAAAAATGTCATTTTAAGGACTACTTATCGCTAAGGCTTCCTTAAAATGGTCGGTGCAAACGGCCCTCAATGACTTACCCGTTCCACCCAATTTTCAAATTTTTAACTTCAAAGACAACTGAATGACGCCTTGTATAACGATTTTGTTGTCACCCGTTGGAATCCTATCAAATACTTTTTGAAAGTCAAGGAATACTACATCAATTGGATCATTCTCATTATCCGCCCTTGTCCACATATTGAGACTAGTTAGGGGTTGGAAAAAGTAGATTTTTTGGGGAGAAAACCATGTTGTTGGGGTGGTACAATATGACCTTCGAGGAAAACGCTTGTGAGTTCCTTAGCAATGGTTTTTTCTATACATATAAAGTGCGACAAGTGAGTGAACCTGTATGGAAGGAATGCGGGCAGAACCCTCCTGATTGGCCCGAGATTAAATATACCTTACGCGGGTCGTCGCGTCAGGGTAACCGCAATTTTCGCAATACACCACGTCGAGGACCCGTCGCATCGTATAGTATAGGTTTTCGTCTTCCCCTCTGCTACTTCATACATTACCAAGGTTCACTCACTTGTCGAACTTTACATAGGGCGATGGCCAGGCTGACTAGTCTGTAGTTTTCTACTAGCTTTTTGTTACGCTTTTTGAATATAGGTATAACAACTGCTTTTTTCCAAGGTTGTGGAAAATCTCCTGTGAATTCTAAATACTGCCTTAGTTGAACCGGTGCAAAGTTGGCACCCGAAAATCAAGCACACCTGATTTTCTCAGGAGTTCTGAGTACTTTTAGGATAGTTCTAGAGTTCTGAGAGGGGTGCAACAATAGTTCTCATGCCTAAGTATTTTTTTTTTTTAAAACAAAAAAAGGGGTGCTAACTTCGCGCCGCACCCCTTTTTGATAGTGCAACAGTTCTCGAGTGATTTTTCGGTTCTAAGGGTATAGTTCTAGAGTTCCTGATAGAAATTATGAATAGTTCTGCAAAAATAAAGCTAATATAACGGAAAAAGTTTTCAGCAGCGCGCCCCAGCCGTATTGCGGGACATAGCATCCCGGTACATCATACATTACGCGATACATTTGAAGGCTCGTTGAGATGTATGGAGGCTGCTGGGGTCAGAACTATGGGTTAGCACTCCATAGTTCTGGTGTCTACTATTACTCTACTATGGATACATTTCAAAATTAACTGGGGTGCTGTGAAATACACCGGGTTTCCACGCGCATCCACGCTAAATTGGCATACTGGAGGCTGCTGGGGCCAGAACTATGTGTTATTTCTGCAGCACTCCATAGTTCTGGTGTCTACTATTACTCTACTATGGATAAATTTCAAAATTAACTGGGGTGCTGTGAAATACACCGGGTTTCCACGCGCATCAACGCTAAATTAGCATACTGGAGGCTGCTGGGGCCAGAACTATGTGTTATTTCTGCAGCACTCCATAGTTCTGGTGTCTACTATTAATCTACTATGGATAAATTTCAGAATTAACTGGGGTGCTGTGAAATACACAGCGTTTCCACGCGCATCCACGCTAAATTGGAATACTGGAGGCTGCTGGGGCCAGAACTATGTATTATTTCTGCAGCACTCCATAGTTCTGGTGTCTACTATTAATCTACTATGGATAAATTTCAAAATTAACTGGGGTGCTGTGAAATACACAGCGTTTCCACGCGCATCCACGCTAAATTGGAATACTGGAGGCTGCTGGGGCCAGAACTATGTATTATTTCTGCAGCACTCCATAGTTCTGGTGTCTACTATTACTCTACTATGGATAAATTTCAAAATTAACTGGGGTGCTATGAAATACACCGGGTTTCCACGCGCATCCACGCTAAATTAGCATACTGGAGGCTGCTAGGGCCAGAACTATGGGTTATTTCTGCAGCACTCCATAGTTCTGGTGTCTACTATTACTCTACTATGGATAAATTTCAAAATTAACTGGGGTGCTGTGAAATACACCGGGTTTCCACGCGCATCCACGCTAAATTAGCATACTGGAGGCTGCTGGGGCCAGAACTATGTGTTATTTCTGCAGCACTCCATAGTTCTGGTGTCTACTATTAATCTACTATGGATAAATTTCAAAATTAACTGGGGTGCTGTGAAATACACCGCGTTTCCACGCGCATCCACGCTAAATTAGCATACTGGAGGCTGCTGGGGCCAGAACTATGGGTTATTTCTGCAGCACTCCATAGTTCTGGTGTCTACTATTAATCTACTATGGATAAATTTCAAAATTAACTGGGGTGCTGTGAAATACACAGCGTTTCCACGCGCATCCACGCTAAATTGGCATACTGGAAGCTGCTGGGGCCAGAACTATGTATTATTTCTGCAGCACTCCATAGTTCTGGTGTCTACTATTACTCTACTATGGATAAATTTCAAAATTAACTGGGGTGCTGTGAAATACACCGGGTTTCCACGCGCATCCACGCTAAATTGGCATACTGGAGGCTGCTGGGGCCAGAACTATGTGTTATTTCTGCGGCACTCCATAGTTCTGGTGTCTACTTTTAATCTACTATGGATAAATTTCGAAATTAACTGGGGTGCTGTGAAATACACCGGGTTTCCACGCGCATCCACGCTAAATTGGCATACTGGAGGCTGCTGGGGCCAGAACTATGTGTTATTTCTGCAGCACTCCATAGTTCTGGTGTCTACTATCAATCTACTATGGATAAATTTCAA